TGGCGAGTCTTCGTGGCGTTGGCAGTAAGATTCATTGTTTTACAAAGAAATCAATTGATAATTATTGTTAGAAGTAGGTTCTTCACAAAATTGTTTCCCCTTAATTGGACCTAAATCAAACTGACACAAAAGCATAGTCTGGGACAAACCTGCTACCAGTCTCCAGCCTTAGCTTACGTTACTGTAATCCTCAGCGGGTTGTTTATGTTGGGCCGCTTCACATCTAACATACCCAAAAGATTATATTCTCTCGACATACCCTATTCGCTGTAGTCATTCATTTATCCCAAGTATGCATTTATCTTAAACTAATAGTCATTGTCACGTTTAACATTATTACCTTCGATTTATTCATTTAGGTTCGCCTATTGCTGAAAATGTAGAGCAGATTTTTCTTGATGATCTCCTGACCTCTTAGCAGCAGATGGAAACCAGTTTCAGCAAGAATCTCATTCAGTTATACAAAGGCTTTGAGTTCCGCACACTCTGGAATGTAGAAGAAACCCTAAAAAATCACCAAGGACTGGCGGTTGGGGCTGCTCCGGGTACTGGACAACTGCGAGGAGTTTTGGAGTTGAGCAATGCTTTGACGGCATTCGATTCCATTCTGATGCAGGGACAGCAATGCTTTTCACAGTTTATTCACCAAACCAGCACTCACAAGTGGTCTTTTAACAATACCATGCACCCTTTAGTAAGTATCTTTGCAAAGGCAGAAGAAGATGATGAAAATGAGTTTAAAGTTTTATCAAAACAGAAAGAAGTAGTGGCAAGTAAAGAGTTTTGGGACAAATGGTCACCCGTCTGAGGTGGGGCGAGGGGGGTTACCTCCTCGAAAGTGGCTGATGGGGATGAAGCGCTGAATAAATTTTCAATAGAGTTATTGTAGAATGGGGTCTCGCATTATCGGGATTTTGGGGACAGAAAAACCTGGAGGTAGGGATTAAAAAATGGGAAGATTCGCGGCTTAAAATTTGTTGCATTTGCCTAAAAGGTGGCTGACATGGGGTCTTTTAATAGCCCCAGAATAGACTATGGTGAAGTAGGGGTTGTGAGGGGTTAACACCACCTACAAAGAAAAATTTGATCATGACCCAAGCCCCTCAGCCCCCGGTAATTGTTTTTTTTTTTACTCGCAAACCATTCAATTGCAACAATTCAGGGTGCAGTCCTTCTGCAAAATGTCACCAGGTTTTTCCACCTGGTTTATCAAGCACTTTGTTTCTTGCTAATGAAAACCTATTGATTCCTTTTTTTTTTTTCTATCTTTAGTTGTTTAGTGACTTGCACAATGGCAAAGCGAGATTTGATTTATCCATAAACGACAGTTGTAGCAATTGCTACAATATACGCTTACTGGAGGTTAGTTTAGAAGCTCAAGAACAGAATTAAACAATTTATCTATCCATTCATCCTTCCGCCGAAAAACGAGTCACTCTTCGCGTAATTTCTTTAGAGAAGGCGCAATAACTTACCGACTATCAATTATCTGTCTCTCTGTCTGTCCAACTCTTTGCATTTTCTCTAATGAAATTACTACCGTGACTAAAATTAATTTTACATTGTAGATGTATATTGAGCTCTATGGGAACGAATATCAAAACGAAAACAACCTCCCAGGAAGAGTTTATCTTGGATTAAGACATTCGACAGGGTCGTACTTTAGAGATGGAAATGGAACAGTGAAGGAATTCCGGCAGCCTTTGTCGTTACAGTATCGAACGTTCGAGTTCAACCGCTTTGCAATTACTGACACCGCTCAATGTACAGCAGCGCAATTGGCTGGAAACGGTGGGTATTTTTATCCAGCGTATACACCGAATCAAAATATGGCTTCCAATATAAATTGCCATTGTTCTGGACTCACTAGCGTCGTTTTCACATGGAAATACAAAAGGTTTATCACATGTGTGAGAGGCCAGGGAGTCCAGAACAATGGCAATTCAGATTGGACCCCATATTTCGTTTCGGTGTATGAAAAGATTAGGCCAGTCCAGTTTAATGCACCATTGAAAAAATCTAAGAGCTATTTATTTGGAATAAACTGTCCCATGAATCCTGCAATCATCACACACAATGATTTTAGTATATTTATACGCTTCTCTCGATGGTTTCATGAACCAACTATCTTTAAAGAGCCTTTAGGACAGTTTTCTGTGGTTATAGGTGGCCTGACTTATGAGTTCCTTAGAGTGAACATAAAGAAAAGCACTTAACGGACGAATTTTTTTGTGAGCTTCTCTTAGATTTATCATCAGTTATTACGTTACGAACATACAAATATCAAAATGCGGTATTTTTTCTATCTGGTAATTCTGGGAACCCTGAGACCAACAAACACCGTTAAGATTAGATCAGGTCTTGGCCATTATATCGTAGATGTAAAAGCAGATTTATTTTGCTCTTGAATACAAAACGTTTCATTAAAGCTTTTTACTCTCAAGATCTCATTGGTAATTCTCCTTGCTGTCTGCCATATAATTAACAATTGTTCTACGAGCGCGCGTTGAATATGAGATGATAGATTGCCAACTCGGCGCTACGCGCCTCGTTGGCTATAATCATCTCATATTCAACAAGCGCGAGTGGAATAACTGTTTTATTAAAAAAAACGCCCCCAAGATATTAGAAAAATCTTCTCGACTTTATTTCGTAAGAAGAAACTGGATGTTACAATGTACAGATATTAGATTCTGGTATATTGGCTGGGGTGGATCCAGAGGTGGCTCGGGTGGTTCGTTCTAACCTCCTAAATCTTCCCTCAGAACGCTGGAAATCATGTTTCCAAAGACCTAATTTTGAAAATCTCAGACCCGTCAGGAGAGGGACAATTCTCTGAACCCCCCTTGACTAAATCCTGGATCCGCCCCAGATTGGCTCATATACCATAATGGCTAAGCCAATAAAAAGTCTTGAATTGCATTATCCAATGATCCAGTTTTTAATAATTGTCAATATATAGTTTTAGCCAAGCCTAAAAGCGTAGCTCCCAAGTTCGTAATATTAATGATAACATAAAAGATGTGCATTTTCCAAGACTCGCCTTAGACACCCCTCCCTTCGTTTTGATAGTCTTCCCTACCCTACCCTACCCGTGCAATCTAAAGGCACTTACGTACGTACGCTCAGTCAGTCACGTGACAACCAAACCAAAAGAGGTTGACCATATTCCATCGGCATGGGGCTCTGCCCCACGGGCGCGAAGCGCGCATGGGAGCCCCGCTATGATGTTACTTCAGAAAAGCTGGTATTAGATCAAGTAATAATCCCCTCATTGATATTTTTCCTTCATCCCCTGCTACTCGATATTATTTCGATATTGTAAGGAGATATTCTGTTTTCGTCACCTATGGGAGTTGAAGTGCTACTGGCAGTGTTGAACGCTGTAAAACGCCTCATGATACGCACTTTCGTTTTTGTGACCTATCCAGGGGATTCTTCTTTCTGTTTGGGAGAGGACGACGTACGGTTGGTACCAATGTGCTGCCATTACCTCAGCGGAGATTCGTGTGATGATACACTCAGCGGAGGAAATGAGTGCCAAAGTCCATTTGGAACGTACGAGTTGATTATGCCAAAAGACGATCAACTTACTTGTTCAACGGAAAGTACACAAATAACGAACAAAAACTGCAAAGATTTTGATGTGAGTGACTACTTTAGAAACATTTTAATTGTTACTGTTTTTTTTTTTAATCGTGCAGGATCGGACTTTTCCTAGTTTATTGTGGTTTTCGTATAGGCTGGATGGAGTTTTGTCTTCAGCGGGGAGGGCTTAGAATGAGGACAAATAAATTGTTACTTATCATACACCCACTAATTTACCCGGTCTCATAGTAATTGCAGTGCTTACCTCAAGCGGTCAGGACGGCAACGACGAGGGAGAAGTCGATAAGAAAATCAATTTATCTTTTCAATTAACTTACGTATAACTTGCCATCCGGATTTCCGTTCTTAGACCACGCAAATTTTGTTGTTTTGCGGAGGGCAGCTCAGAAATGTACAAAGTTTTAAGACGCACTTGCTGAGCTATTCAGTTCTGCTCAGTGCATCTTTTGTTAGGGCGCGTCCTCACTGCCATCGCCGTCGTGGTTTGTTTACGGTCCCTAATAACAAAGAGAAAAAGAGCACAAAATGATATGAGTAATAATAATTAAAAAAAAACAATCATATGCAGAGTGGGCTAAAATATTTTTAAAAAGAAACTGAATTTAACTGAAAAACTATTGCAAGAGAACAGAATACATAAACTATTTTGAGCTGAAGGCATCTGATTTCCTTTATTTCTTTCTTGCTATCTTTCTTAGTTTTTTCTTTGACAGCGTACCATTTATACCAATATGAATATATGGGTACTCAATCTGCTCTGGACCGATCAGTATCCTACTGCGCCAGACGATTCTAGATGTGGTCATTCTGCTCTTACGAAGTCTGCTGTGAGGCGCCCTCCAAAGAAACTGAGTTTAAAAAAGAATTCACGATGAACTCACTAAAACACGATGAACTCGAGTATGAATTAGACCGAGCAAAGTGAAATAATTTAGAGACGCACTGATAATTAGATGAATAAAATAGGAAATTCACTGTACGATCTCACGTTAATCTTGTTGAAGTTATTTTGGGTATCGCTTTTGCATTCTTTTTAAGGCCACTATCCAAACCTGCCGTGACGCGCACAAATATTACTTCCGTTCATTTTCATGGAAAGGAAGCGCCGAAATCTGTGGACTTGGTTCATGCGTTAAACTTAAACTTTGTCCGCTCCGATAACAAAGAGACGGAGGCCTCTCTTGGATTTTGCCTCATCAACCAACTCTCTTGATCTCCTAGGTCATGCTCCTTACATATATATGTTACTATTTTCTCTGCGTCCTCCGGCATATTCGACATTCTGTGAACGTGTCATGTGATTGGATTGTTTGGATTTCCGCCCACACTACATTCTTAATTCAATTTGTCACAAATTGTAGAGCGCGTGACATTCTTCATTTTTGCGGTTCATCCTAATTCCTGTGACAAGGCCACGTCCGTCAAAATAGAAAAGAAACTTGTTTGCTACCAGAAGAAATGTGTTGGAGTGTATTTCGCAGAGAATTTCGCCTGGTTAATTTTCGTTTGCTGTATCCTAACTCGGAGGATTTTGCTCAATCTCCAGTAAGTAAGGCTCCTCACTGTCATACAAATTACTTTGTATTGCTTCGCTTAGATACTATTTGCACATTTTAGTAATGATTCAAGCGGTAATTGAGAGCCGAATCTCGTAAAACACATCTTTACCGTTTATCACGTAAATGAAAAAAGGGAGAAAATCGTGTGAGCTACCCGATGTTATTGACACATAAATTTGGGTTTGACTGCCATGAATATCGCCTGAATACTGTCCGTATCTAAAGTATTCGTCTCCGAATGTATTATAAGTATGTTGACATCAGATATCTGATGTTAACACAGGCTGTCAGTCATAATCCCCTTATTTTAGTCACAGACTGAAATATATCGATTACAAACCTTTCGAAGTGAGCTATCTCAGCATACCGTGACTTGGTTAATATGAAAGTGCATCATAATTCCTGCGTAACTAACTTCAAGTATTGAAATGGCAAACAGTTCGTCGTGTATCTATTTGTGGTAAGGCATTGATAGAAACTATTAAGTTGTAATCTGTTGTAGGTACCAACTTAAGCAGTGTCACTTCGTGATCAGGTTACATATTTCCCGATCACAAACAAAGCAAAACTCGGTGAAATATGTTGTTGTTAGCTTCCGACCGTCATAATTATGCCCGTCAGAGGAACGCAAACATGGTGATCGATACAAAGCCTTGTGGATTTGAGTAAAACATTTCTTCGAATAACTCCCGCTTGAAACATCGCACAGACCTGAATCTTTGCGAGACTGTTTGAAAATTCTTCTTCTTTTATCTCGTTCGTTCTTGACTTTATTCGTTGAATGGTTTGATGACGGTGCGGCAGTTAATAATTCGGTAATATCAGTGATAGACCATTCCAAGTTCACCGGCGCCATTTTGCCGAGAGTGCAGAACTGTTGGGGCGAGCGCAAAATGTACAGTGAATGTATTGAACACGTCGGGAGATTGATGCTCGATAATTTTAGGAAGGTTGACATTCAGCAATTTCTATAAATTACGAAGTAAAAATACCCAGCAAAAGATGTTGCCGAAATCTTATTTTTAGTTTTTCATACAAATGCCATTAAATTTTCCCGCGTACTGCGGCTTGGTTTTACAGATAATTATTCGGAAAATCAAAATCTTGATTTGCAGCTTTTTTCGTGAGACTTCATTTCTCAAATTTAATCGGTAAACTGGTATCTTTAGTTTGTAATTCATTGAAATTGCCCAATGTCAACCTTCCTCAAATTATCGAGCATCAATCCCTCGACTTTTTCCATATATTCACAGTACATTTTGCGCTCGCCTCAGCAGTTTTGCAAAATGGCACCGGTAACCTTGACATGGTCTATTGCATGCTTATGAAGATGATGAGGAAGGCACTGTTATTGCCGAAAATAATCATAAACACGCACAGTAGTACACGCACAGTAGTACACGCACAGTAGTACACGCACAGTAGTACACGCAGAGTACTTGTCTAGTTGAGTTTTTTTTGTTTTTGTTTTTTATGTTGTCTCTTTATTTTTTTCTTACTCGTGAGGGACTGGTACGTTATTGTATATTAATTGCCTAAGGAGGAGGAGGGGGATCTGAGGAGGTCGGAGGGTTTTTGTTGTGTCCGACCTCCCCTCCCCCCTCCCGTGGGGACGTGGTCCGAAAATCACAGTGATATGAAATGAACGATTTACGATTGAAATATGCTCATGCTATTATTTTATATTTTCCCAGTGGTTTGGAATATTGACCGTTCTGCAGTATCGTTTCATCGTCACTCTATTCTGCCTTGGCACATTAATAGCGAGTGGAATTAATTACCGAAGAAACGGACCCAAATGGCTCATTTATCTGACCAATTGGAGTTTCTCTTTCATCACAGTATACTTCATTTGTGCTTGCATACTCACAGCCATTCATTACAAGAAACAAAGGAAAATGGGAAAAAATACTGTCCAATATAGCATGGAAACTACAACAGAAGAGGCTCCACAACCAATGGAAGATAAGATTAAGAACGAATGTAGAGAAGAACCTGGCCAGGGAGATGATGACACTTTTTCCACTGATGGCAATTTTAAAGCAACAATGGAGACCCCAATGTATTGGTACCACAAGGCCCTGTGGGTGATATATAACATTGCGGCGGCTGCCGCCCTTCTTGTTACTTTATCGTTCTGGACGGTCATATCCAGAAGTAACCCAAGCGCCATTTCAGTCATTGTACATGGCGTTAATTCCATCCTCATGGTGGCTGAAACCATGCTAAGCTCAATGCCCGTGCGTTTATTCCACGTCATCTACCCCATGTTCTATGAAATAGCCTACATCGTATTTACGGTGATTTACTGGGCGTCTGGTGGCACTAACTCGTTTGGCGGGAGTTTTATCTACCCCCAGACCGACTACTCAGGGAGACCAGTCTTCTCTGCTGTTTCACTGATTTGCTTATTCTTTATTGTCCTTCCATTTTGTCAAAGTATTTTGTTTTGTTTCTATCGCATACGAGTCTGGCTGGAGACTAAGTATGACAGATAGATAAAAATTACGATTGTATCAAAAGTCACAAAACAGGACCAGTCTAGATTGTTATTTCACAAAAAGCACTTCAAGCGAGAACACATAAAACTGAGTGCTGATTGTTCGAGCTTTGGTTTAAAGCATGTACACGACCACCTTTCCGTAAAAGAATATGTCGCTATTCGTAGGTTTTGATGGATGAAGTTTCGCCCTCTTATAATTTTTTCTTTTCTCTTTGCGGAGGGTGCATTTTGAGAAGTTTGAAGTTAATTTGTGTGTGCCCAGACCAAGTTTTCAATAAGTTTTTAAGCTCTCCAAAACATTTTGTAAATTAATGTACCTCCTACCCCTTCAGTTTTGTCACGTCCTCATTGCTGTCGCCTTCGTGCTTTTCTTCGGTTCCTAAAAGGCTCCGTTTGGAACAGAGGGAAGTGGTGGGGGAGGGGAGGGAGGGGGGTGGAGGTCATGCGACTTTGTTGCTAGCTTAGGGTAGTACACCTCTCTCCCCCTCTAGGCCTAAACTCATTAAGGAGCTCTCATGGTTGGCTACTGCGAGAAATACTCAATTGGAAAATTTAAACAAATAGATAAACGGCAGTTAATGGTTAACTTTTTTTTCTCTCGTCTTAAGTGGCTGAACAAAGTTTTTGACACCTGTGTTTCTTTCATCATTTCCTCTAAAACCCTTGATCTCTCGGTCGCCAAAACTGGCAGCAAGAAAGTTAACTACACAAACTTTTTTTTTGATAGTTAAGCTGACGTATGTGCCGTTTCCATGGCGACATGAATAAATAAAAACAGGCCTTTAAAATCGGTTTTGTTCATTTGTACAAAATCTAGTCATTAATTTTTCTTTATAATTTGCATGCAACGAGCTTGTAACGATACTTATAAGTTATCACCATTTTGCTAACAATCTAACCGAGAGATCTCTAACTATCCCTTGTTGAAGGTTCACTCGATTACCTAGATTTTCTTATGTTTAAAATCCATTTTGTCAATACTCCAGTTACCTATTACCTAAAGTAATTTCTTGCCAAATTTCGTGCAATTCTAATGAGTGGTTCTCAAGAAATAGGCATGAAATTTCCGAGAAAGCAATTTTCCATTCAATCGCAATTTTTTGACTTACTACGCGCGCGCTTCATTTAACTGGGCTCTCTCGGTAACGACGAAAAAGCTGAGAATTGAAGGGTTCTTTGCACCGTTAACTTTTCTAATATACACCGAATGCAAATATGGCGTCCAATTTGAATTGCCATTGTTCTGGACTGACTAGCCTCGTCTTCACGTGGAAATACAAAAGGATTATTACATGTGTGAGAGGCCAGTCCAGAACAATGGCAACTCAAACTGGACGCCATATTATTTGCATTCGGTGTATATCTTTGTAATAAAAGATTAAAGCCCTCAATACACTGCAACAACTATAGAGAAAAATAGCACAGATAGTGCGGATACGTGTTCAGAAAATAAAATGACCGCTCTTTTGACGGCATGTTTGTTTTTTATAATCCTTGTGCGCGCGCTGAGTCGCATCAGCAAAAGCGCGGGCGAAAACTGTGTTCAGCCACCTTAAAAACTTTTGAATAGGGACACTTGTGAAACAAAAGCTCGAGCATTTCTATTTCCATACCGCTTCTCGTCGTGTGTGTCATTGCCAGTTCTCGAAAAAATTAAATAGTGGCCTCACACAGCACCGGAATTTTCTCTCGTCAGTTGTCTGGGCTGTAGGGAGTATAAAAGAAGGGAGTAAGTCTTGACGATACAGGACCGTAAAGGCTGAAATCTGAGAGTGTGTATGACTTGACAAGGTCACTTGTAGATAGGACACTAAAAAGGGATTATCAGATGTTCTGCTCCAGCACCGACATGTAAAAATGTTCTATTTCCGTAGGTAAGCGCAGCTGATCATTCAAGCTTGTTTACATAAAAGCATTTCGATACGCTTGGCGAACTTTAACATTGCATGATCATGTAATCATCTTTCAAACAAACATCAAAGTTATTTTAAAGCCAACGAGAGATAATTGGAAATAATGTGCTGTAAGATACTTCGCAACGAATTCCGTCTCGTTCAGGCCCGTCTATTGTATCCAAATGCAGAGGACTTTGTTCAGTCACCGGTAAGTTCATCTTGATAAAGAGCGCATCTGGTTATTACGATGCAAGAGTAATTATGTTATATCGCTTGCTGTTCGTGCTTCAGGCCATTTAAAGCTAATGGCGAGCTCAGACTGTGTGCCTCTATCGTAGATAAGCTTTCAAACACATAAATAATTGTTTCTCTATTTATCATCTAACAAGTGGAATCGTTTTTTAGGATTTACGGCCGAATCAGGACAACTCGCA